GTACGTGTAATCAATTTACATGTAATTTGAGAAAAATAATAAAAAAGATGAAATAAGTTGAATAAGCTGATTTTGTGCAAATAATGAAAAAAATTGATATAAAAAGGTAGAGAGAAAGAGGATGAAGAAGGAAAGAGGAGGAGGATGAAGATAATATGATCATGAAGAGAAGAGGGAAGAGATAATGGAAAGAGATAATGGAAATAGGGGAAAGAGGGAAGGGAGATAGAACGGAAAGAGAAGAGGAAAAGGGAAAATGAGATTTTTTTTTTTTGTTTTTATAACAGGTACAACTTGTTTACATGGGTACATTAAGCAAATAAAAAAAAAGTGTTGAGAAATGAAAGTTGAGAGTTGAGACACCTAGGCGGCACCTACGTTTAGAATCAATCGGCTATTTTTAAACTTTACATTCTCCAATCCGCGATACTGTCTTTCTATTTTTTCTCCTGAGATCGTCAAGGCTTTCCAGGTATGATTTTTTTTACTGATGCGCCCATTTTTTGATGATAAAACACTTTTCTCCAATCACCAAGCTATCAACTCCTATTTCTCATTCTCCATTTGCTCTGCCCGGATAAAAAACAGTCCCAACTCCCAAGAACCATGCCTAGAAAAATGGGGCCTTTTTCTGTATTAGAATCTGAGTTGGAGTTACTTTGATTTCTTAAGTGCACATAGATTTTAATACTTTGATAGTTCGTAATAATTCCTATTAAGGGGAATGCACTTTAACTTTGTTATCTAAAGAGCATCTAGAATGTAAAAACGAACCGTGCATGCGTGACATAAGAGATAGTCAATTAAAAAACAACAATTAGAATACTTGTCTCGTTAATTGAACAGTCTTATATGTTCTTGGTAAGTTTTTATCCACGATGTCAAACACAATGTCTAAATGTAGACATTGTGGTTAACATTATTGAGAAAAACTTACTAAAAACACATATAAATGTAGAAAGGAAGAGAAAGAATTGTCATAAATTTAATCATTTGTGTCTATCTCTCTCATGTCACATATGCACTGTGCACACTGTAGCATAGAGATGCCCTAAAAGTGGAAGTGCCTTTTGGCTAGAGGAAGGGTCCATCCAGGCCTTTCATATAGGCTTGGATCGGGACCGGCCCGGTTCAAAGACCCAGTACCGGCCCGGGCGGTTCCAAACTTTTTGAACAAAGACCCGGTACTGGCTCGGGATCCCACCGGGACCGGTCCGGTTCGGTCTACCCGTCTGGGTCTCGGGTTGGGTCCTAATTTTTTATATGTTATTGGAAAATTGATTGAAGAAGTGCAAGATATAAAAAAGTAAACGTATATATATTTGAAATACGAACTACAATTGAGAATAGAAAAAAAAATAAAACATTAAATACATTTCATAATAAGTAATAATCAGTTGGAATATCCGGCACTGTCGGTTGTTGTTTCCTCCATGAAGTGGCGGGTGGGGCGATGCTAAGTTTTTGAATTCTACGTTGGACCTTCAACCAATCGTGGAAGCAAACAAGTGTCTCAATAGAATTTGCGCTCAATCTCGTTCTATAATCCGTTAGGACGTTGCCGGCCACACTAAATTCTTGTTCCATGACAACAGGTTTTATCGGCATTGTTAGGACTTGCTTAGCATCTTTGATAAAACCGAAAACGTTCTTTCTTTTTCCTTCCACCACTTTAGAACGTCAAAGTCATCACCCTCTTCATAATCAACAGGAAACGTTAGATATAAAGAAAGCTCATTAACTGAGCTTTGTGCAACAACGAGATCTGTTTTACTTTTTCATAAGATTGCCAAATGTAGATTTCAAAAATGATTTTCCTTTAGATGAAGAAGATGTTCATGTCGGGGGAGGAGGCGCGTTACCATATTGTGCATGAAACTCACTATATAATTGATGAAATAAATTAATAACCTCGATGTATTCCTCTTTGGATCTATGACCTTATCTTCATACATAGGAAATGACAAAAAATGTAGCATAATAGTCCTCCAAGGCTCCAACGGCTATGGCCTATGAAGGAGCTAAAAAAAATGATTGTTGGCCCGGACCGGTCCCGGACCGGCCGGGCCGGTCAACTTTTCCAACGACCCGTAGCCCGCTCTCCCTTACCCCGGGTTGGGCCCAGACGACTGGTCCCGGGCAAGGTTGTTAAAATCTCGATTTAAATCGTAAAATCGTACGATTTTACGATTCTACATTAATAAATCGATTCAAATCACAGGCAAAATCGTAAAATCATAAAATCGTACAAAATCGTAAAAAATGTACAAAATCGTGTAGAATCGTTTAAAATCGTAGCAAAATTGTAATAAGTTTTTTTTAGTGAAAATGGTTCAAATTTATTAAAATTAACTACTACAAATTGATACATAATTACAATAATAATAATAATATCAATAGTATATTTAAAAAAGTAATGGATTCCTTTGTTATTTAATTATTTTTATGTTTTACGTATGTTTAATGTTATTATTCACTACATTAATTACATTTACATTATTAAAATAGTTTATAGGTCTTGTTTTGAACCTTGTAGGTATAGTTTGATGTCATGAAATGATATAATATCATTAACTAGCAACTTAATATTAATATTTATTTATTTTATAATTATTAAGATATGTTTAATAAAATCTAACGATTTGCGATTCGATTTTACGATTCGATTTTCAAAAACATCTACCCATTCGATTCAAAAATACGATTTTAACAACATTGGTCCCGGGCTTGGTTGGCTGGGGCAGGCCGAACTGGTCCGATCCATCCCTACTTTCATACGTATGATATTGATGTTTTTCTGTTGTCTATTAGAGTGGTATATGAGATTGAGTGGCCTCAATTTATATGCTTCTTTGTTTAGTTTATTTGTTTTGATTTTAGCTTTATACAAATGATTAATTTTATTAAAAACAAAAAAATATATTATAATAAATATTTTGTTATATTAATAAATCATATGCCCTTTAATGTAATTTCATATTATTCGTTCACTTTTTCAGTTCTTTTTGTCAAATAGGTCTACTTCGTTCCGTCAGCAATTTAGATACAACATTTCAGTGTTCAACTTCAATCAATAGTGTCTAAATTAGACAATAGTCCCCTAATTCAGACATCAACATTCTACTCAAGTTTATTGTGCCTAATATAGCCTTTGCATGCGTATAAAAAATTGCTGAAAAGTTTATCTCTAAATTTCCGCATATGGTTAGCTTAATGTATATAGCTAAGAGTCAGTCTTAAACGCACAATTTGAATAAGGAGTATTTTCCTAAAATTAGCATTTTGTAATGCATTAGAATAAAATCAAAATAAAATATAAAAGTACATAGAGATGATGTTAACATAATACATTCAATTTGTAAATTATTATACCAAATATAAAATTATAATTTTTTTTTATCAATTCAGGACCCGAAAGATAGACGAATTATCAATCCGGGACCTGAAAGATGAAATGCATCGATATAAGATCCGAATGATGAAAAACTATCAATTTAGGACCTGAATGATTGAAAACTATTAATCTATGACCTAAGTTGTCATAATTTTTTCATTTCTTTTATTTTAAAAAATTTAAATATTATTTAGTTTTATTAAACTAATAAACTTTTGTGAAGAAAAGTATATCAAAAATTAGTAATTGAATTAATAAAAAATTAAATAAATCAAAACCTATGAAACGTTAGGTCCTAAATTGATACTTTTCCATCATTCGGGTCCTATACCGATACGTTTTATCTTTTGGATTCTGAATTGATAATTAATCTATCTTTTTTATCCTGAATTGATAAAATTCCAATTATAAATGTTGTATTAATTGTATTTTTAACTAACGGCGCTAACTATACACAAAAAAACCAATTAATCTACCCTAACTTGAATGCATTCAGTTCTTGGGCCAATGTAACTCCAAGGAACGAAAAGGCTTTTGTTTCCTCTTTTCAACTCAGTATTCGTGCAGTCCACCAGAAAACGTATAGAAGAATGTCAAAGTAAATGTGTGACACATTAGGGTGGGGGTTTGCTACCCATATTTACCCACGTGCCGTCCATCAAAAATGTATAGGAGAATGTCAGAGTGACGAGCAATTGGCATGTGGACGATGACTATAATGCTGAAGACGGGCCGAGTAACAACACTAGTCACTAACTATGTAACTATAAAATTTAATTAAATCTTGTGAATTTGTGATTTTAATTAATTTGAAGTTGTATTAGAATGATTGAAACTGAATATAAGAAAAAAGAAAAAGAGAAGAATTTAAGAGAAATTGGCTCTAAGTATAAAATGATATTCTAAGAGTCTTTTGTTTATTATTTTATTTTTTGAATTATGTTTATTTTTTCATTTTAGTTTATAGAACAAGCCCTGAATAGATTGTTGCCCCTAGAGGCCTAGACCTTAAATTAGACAAGACCGGCCACAAATTATTCTAGTATTATATACTGAGTATATAAATTGTACAATAACATACGCTAAATTTAATCTATATGGCAAATTTTGTCCATACATAACATTTGAAATAAATCTTTGTTAGTACTTCGTATATGTTTAATATTCAAGGTCAGCGGGGGGCAAAAGGGGCTCGAAATTTACCTAGATATATTTACCTCAAAATTTTAATATATATGTGTTTATATGTATTCTTTTACAATGCCGTCCGACGCTGTTCAAGGCAGGGGTAGATCTAGAAAAGTCATCTTTGGATGTGAAAATATTTTTTGAGAGGTTCAAAATATTTTTTGGGAGGGAGAAAATTATTTTTCATATATATATCTACACTAAAAAAATTCTTGTTAGAAGGGCGGTTGACCATTGAGTCTGTACGGCGGTTCACCCCGTTCAAGGTGATATACAAATACAATTAAATTGTATAAATAAATACAAGTAAATAAAGTGGTATATTTAATATTACGTAACATTTTTCTCATTTTTTCTGGTTTGATTTGCACTTGCTCGGCCATACGGTAAAGTCGAAGACCGTTATAACAGTTGGAAGCATCCATGGGTTTGGGTTATGGTTACGTGCGCCCGCAACACCCCGCTTATAGTGAACCCTTAATCCCTTAACTCTGGACAATAAGATTTGCTGTTCCGTCAAGTCTTCGCTGCCTTTTCTGTCAACCTTAAACCTCGCTTTTCCGACTCAGATCAAGGTATAATAAAACCCTAGCGATTTCCCCCAATTAAGCTTAAATTAACTTGCTGAATCCTTCGGAATATAATCGAAAAAGGAATAATCAACGGAGAATGAAAGGGCTACTTTGTATGCTCTGCAAAACTGTTGATCGCATTGAAGCATCCGAATATCCGATCAAGTGCTTTATCTGAGCTTTACTTTTGTATCATTAATTTGAATTCAGGGCTAATAATTTCTGTGTTTACCCAATTTTTCGATTTAGCTTATGCGTTTCAGTTTTCCATGGTTTTAGTTGTTAGAGTGGTGAAGCTGATTAACTTATGGAGTGGGTTTTAATCAAATCCGTTTACAGCTTAATCGACTTGTCACTTATGTATGTTTTGCTCGTTCTGTATAGGTTAATTTGGATTTCATCTATAGTTGATCATAGTAGTGGTTGGTCACTTGGTCAAACTTCAATGCCTTCTGCTATTTCCCCTCAGTGGCAAGACAAGGCTAGTGGGTTTTTCCAATCCTCAGGTAACACCGGTAACTCATCTTTGGCTTATTAATTTGACCTTCAACTGCATCACCATTATCTTTTTTGACGTGATTAGTTAACTTTTTTTTCATGTAGGGGCTAAACTTAAGGAAGCTGGGCACTCCGCAGGAACGGTCTTGGGGGAGGCCGCAAAAGATGCAAAGGGAAATGTCAGTGAGGTTGCAGAGAAGGTTGGATCTATGGTCAAGAGCCGTTGGTCATTTCTACAGCAGCCAGCTACAAGACAAGCAATGCATGAACGTCTCGTTTCTGCAGCTGCTACTACCAGCCTGTTCTTGAGGAAGGGATTTTCAGAGACAAAGGATAAGGTTGCTGTTGGGAAGACAAAAGTTGAAGAGGTACTAGCCAAGAACAAAATAATATGGTGTATAACTTCATACTCTATGAGAGAAAGAATGATGATGTTTGCATAGACTGGTAAATGGGATTTGATGAAGTAATAGGTCATGTCATATCTAGGTTACCCAATTTTTCTTAGTGGTCGTTTAATAGCAACTTTTTCTGTTACTAAGGCCATATTATTTTCTTACTGAACACAATTATGTGCCTTGAAGTTGCTGAATTTGATCATTTTAGCATTTTTTTCATATATTTAAGTATTTAATCAATAAAATGTGCTTTAAGTTTTCTTCATAAGTTTTCAGAATCATCATCAATATCTGTCACTGTGTTACAATTTAAGCACTCTCAGCAACTTCATTAAAACATTTAAGCCAAATTCACCCTTACGAAACGTGCTGTACTTTTATTGTATAAATATTTTATACTCCCTTTTACAACCCAAGCCAAAATTCACTCTTACCAAAAGGACTCAAATTTTATTACGTAGGATATGAATGCATTTTTCCATCATTTGCAATGGAGCCAAAGATTCATTATTTTTTGGCTTGCGATTACGATGGAATAAAGCAAAATGGCTCACTAAACTGTTTGCGCTTCTTTGTCATGAAACAGCAGTCAGTTCATGCAATTTTGGACGGGATTTTTACTATGCGTCATCCGGAAACAGTCTCTCTGTGCTTTAGTACAGGGGTAAGACTGCGTACATCCGACCCCCCCTTACCCCACCGTAGGTGGGAGACTTTGCGGCACTGGGGTAAATGAAAATGAAAATGAGGATATGAATGCATTATACTTCCTCTTTGACTCTTTGTAACCCTAAAGCAATCATTTCGAAATCTCCTCGACTGACAACTCACTTTTACGGATGGTCAACTATCTATTAGCATATGCGTCTGTTCTTGTCACCTATATACGTTCACAAACGGAGTTCTTAAACAGTAGAATATGATACAAGTTGCAAGAAAAATAAAATCTTTAACATGTAGCATAACCTGCCTATTGCCTAGATAAATAGTGTTGACTTAAGAAGAGGAGAATATAAACTGTCCACTGCATTAGTTTTTTACGAAGTGGATATGTGCTTATCTACTTCTAACAATGGATGATGACCATAATATTGTGGTTTAGGTGGCAAAGAAAACTGCCCAAAAAAGTAAGACACTGCTGACTGATATTGAGCGCTGGCAGAAGGTATACACACTAATTACTCTTATTCTTTTCCATAATAATTTACTTTATAGATCAGATGGTTTCCAAATAATGATTCCTTACCCCTTTTCCACTTGCAGGGTGTTGCTAGCACTGATGGTATGTTTTTTCGTCTGAATGGATGTTATGCTCCCTCTCTCCTGTTTTAGTTACCCCCTTTGTTTTTCGTGTTGTTCTTCTGATAATTAATTTTCTCATTACCTTTTACGGGAGGAATTGTACTCTTGGTATTGCTTTTTTTTATATATTAATCTCAATAACACAATTTTATTTTATTGAACTATGCAAATCAAACTGGTAAATTAAATACGGAGATGGAGTAGTAAATTTAACTCTCTAAAGGTTCTCTTAAGTTCGAACTCAGACCAACAATCAAGACATTTACTTTTTTGGGAAAGAGATGGTCATAGCCTTCTCCATGATTATTTTATTCAGGGAAATCAAACCATATCAGGGCTCTGTTTGTTAGATGAAAATATATCTTGGAAAATGTTTTTGATTCGCTTGTGTTGAGCACATAACAGCATTGTATGGTCATTGTTTATGACTCATGCCCATGATTATAGTACAATGAATTAATTCATTATATTTTGCTTTACTTGTTTTCTTAGTGTTTGGAGTTCCCATAGAAATAACTGTCCAACGACAACAATCCACCAGGCCTGTCCCATCTATATTGGTCAAGTGTGCAGATCATCTTGTCTTATCAGGTGATGATACAACCCACAAAAATGCCTTTGTGATCTTCTTGTTCATTGAAGATGAAATGATTTGATGACCATGACTTCCTTCATTTTTCTTAGGACTAAATTCTCGGGGGTTATTCAAGTCTGAAGGAGAGAGAAAAACCATCCAGAATTTGATATCATTATACAATGAAGGTATCTGACCATTTGAATTCATTTGGAATTCATTGAACTTCTACATGACCCTGCTATATACCCATAAAATATTAGGAAATAATAGTAAGGGAAACAGTTGTAAATGGAAAGAACTCAAGAAGACCTTGGAGAAAAAAAGATATGCTTAAACTCAATGGATTTATTTATCTATTTCTATATAAATAATAAGAAATCTGATTACACATAAAAAATTGAACAAAGTAATCATGTTTGTTTTCCTTCGCATATACTAGTACATAAGAAGATAACTTTCCTTGGCATGTTTTCTACTTTCCGGAGCATTTACTGTAATAGAAACATTTCTTGCTGTTTATTTATTTGTTCAGTTCTTGTCTATAGATCCAAGTGCAGCACTACCAGAGGGTGTTAATCCACTTGATGTAGCAGCTCTTATAAAGTGCTACCTTGCCAGCCTGCCTGAGCCATTGACGACCTTCCAATTGTACGAAGAAATCAGAGTTTCCCGTTCCAGCATACCCAAAATGCGAAATATATTGAAGAAGCTTTCCACTGTCAACTACATGACACTGGAACTGATTACTGCATTGTTGCTCCGTGTTAGCCAGAAGTCTCCAGTCAATGAGGTAGAAATGTTGTTCATCAGTTGATTTCCAGTTTTAGTTTGATTCGTTTCATTTTGAAGATGTTAAGCTGAAAACCGAATAACTCAAGTCAGTTTTGGTTGGTTTCTGCAGTTTGTCAGATTTCTAAGCCAAACAGACAACCAAAAACTGAATGACTGTGGTTATATCGGTTTTGGTCGGCTCAGTTTGGCGCTTTTTTGTTCAGCCTGGTTTATGTATGCGCTCATTTCATGGAGATTGAAATAACAATTCACTTCCAAAAAATCTTTTCTCCTACAATTGCTTTATCAAGGAAGTGCTCACTTTAAATTAGTAATACAATATATATTCATCATCATCATCATCATTACCCTAGTGCCTCAAAAGCTCCCACCTACGGTGGGGTAAGGGGGGGTCGGATGTACGCAACCTTACCTCTGTACTAAAGTACAGAGAGGCTGTTTCCGAATAATACAGTATATATTAATGAAACATAATTCTTTGTCCCATATTTTGACCTTCTTTAACCTGGGACTTGTTTTTAGATTTTGTAAATTTAGTCCATATCAATTATTGTAATTGAGATACAATTCATCTCTTCTGTAAAACTCACCCTGAGGTATGAGGGCATATCAAGACATTCTTGGTATTCTAGTGCTGAGAATGCCCCTATGGCCCCCTATTATCTGGCTATATAAATGGAGATTTTAGTAAAGAGGGATAATCTGTATCTAAGTTATAACAAAGGAGACTCTTTCAAAAATGGAAAAGCAGGTCCCAAATTGCATAATATCAAACATTTGGAGGATTCAGAGTGCGATTTCCCTTGCATAAAAGATGTCACTCATTCTTTTGTTGTGGTAGATGGATGCTCGAAGTCTTGCAATGGAAATGTCTCCCATCATTATGTGGAAACAAGGAAGAAGTCCACACTATTATAAACTGTTCTGGGGTGGCTTACCAAAAAATAACTCAAAGACGAATTCTGATTCTAAGTATAGCCCATGGGATATGCTTGCAGGTGAATGATAAATACGGAGTACTAATTAGGATTTCTGTTTGTTAGGCTGTGTTTGTTTCCAGGAAAATACGTTGTGAAATACAGGGATATCTTTCCAAGGAAATCAGAAGATGATATTACTGTAAACAGACACAGCCTAATACTCCTCTTAATTACTGTATGATTATTTTTTTTTTGTTGTGCTGCTACTTACAAATTACAATGTTTGGAGAATTCAGATGAAGAAGAAAACATAGATGCTTCTTCTCCTATACCTTTGGATGATGGCTTGCCTGTTGACTTTGGTGCAATAGAAGTGGTTCAGTGCCTGATTGAACATCATAACGCGATATTTACAGATGCACACGAGACGGTTTGGAGGTGACAAATCAATAGGTGGTTCAGCTCCTGCTTACATTATACAGGGACCATTTCTGATCACTTTGTGCAGCATTTTGAAATCTCAGTCAATCATCATTTGTGTTGTAAATTTTTGTTTTTACGCGATGGTGATAGGTTAGGGTTTCTTTTTTAAGGAAAACATAGTACTTTTTTAGTTTGTCATTAAGTTTTATGATGATTTGATATCCATCGGGTACACATGGCAAATAGGGATGGACTCGGGTCCGGGCCGGGCCTAGGCCCGGGCGGGCCGGCGGGTCAGAAATGGTGGACCCGGGACCGGCCCGGGTAACCACCGGGTCCGGGCCGGGCCGGGCCCATTATATTTTTTTTTTGTTTTCCTCTTCCTAATTAACCCCCCTCCCACCCCCAACCCCCCAAACCACCCCAAATGGCCCAACCCGAAAATTTAAAAAAAATATGAAAAAAAAAAGTTTTTGGCCCGAACCGGGCCCGGACCCGGCCGGGTCGGGCTTGCTTTGGGTGACCCGAGCCCGGACCGGAAAACCCACGGGCCGGGCCTACCCGGACCGGTCACTGACCGGGCCGGGCTGGAACAGTACCGGTCCCGGGCCGGTTCCGGGTCGGGCCACCCGGCCCGAGTCCATCCCTAATGGCAAATATTGGAGGTAATGCTTTTTTAGGTTGAAAGATGGCACATCAGTAGCAGCTGGATGCTTAAAAGTTTTTATGTGGGTGAATTCTTTTATAAAATCAGCTAAAACTGATTACATTTTGATTGAGAAATACATAGAACATGTTATTTCTTAAACAAAATGAGTAATGTTAATAGTGGAAACAATTTTTGTTGTTAAAAACTGTTATTTTCATGAAAAGGTCGTAGATTTATAGTTTAACTATAAAGCAAATCTTAAATAAGAGTTAGTTAGTGTATGCCATGATTGTATCGGTACTGAAATGATTTGAAACCGTCGCCTTTCTCCATGCTTCAATTGGTACATTTAGGCGAAATTGACATAAATAATCCATACTTTTGTGCATTTTACAAAAATAATACCTACCGGAAAAGTTTACAACAATAATTCGAACTATTTAACTCTTTCACATAAATAAACTGGAGTTAACGGTGTTAACTTTTCCGTTAGTTTTTTTTCATTTTAAATATAATGAAGCAAAAATATGTACAAGCATCAACAATATTATATACTTCCTATATTTTATTATGAATTAAGTTTAGTAGTCATTATTTTTCATAAAATGTAATAGAAATATTTAAAAACATACTCATCAAATTCTCATTTTTCTTTTAGTTCTAATCAATATTTTATATATATTCATTAAAATTAATTTTAGTAATTCTATATTAAATATTACTAAAATGAATACTAGTTTGTGTTCAAATGTTTTTATTATATTTTACAAAAACATAGTTATTATTAGATTAAATTTATAGTAAAAATAAGACTAAACAAAAACATAAAATTATTAATGTTTTGATATATATTTGCTTCACTTTAATTAAAAAAAAACGAAAAAGTTAACACCGTTAACTTCCGGTTTATTTTTGTGAAACAATTATCTAGTTGGAACTATTGTTGTGAACTTTTCAGTAGGAGTTTTTTCCCGGAATAATGTTAATTAAATAAACTATTCTCGAAATACTGTCGGGTTAAGAATAATTCCCAAAATACTGTTGGGGTTAACCACGGTTAAGGAAAGCCGCCACTCCAAGTGGCGGTTCTTGTATAGCTTCACAAGAGCCGCCACTTGGAGTGGCGGCTCTTGTGTCAAGCAAGCTGCTGAACTGTTAAGTACACAAATGAACCTGTAGTTAGCCAAAAATCTGCTCATCACAGTCCATTCTACTCAAACAAACAACCAAACATATGATTTACTAAGACAAAATACATCTGAAACACAAAACGAATCAATGAAACTCATTGCATCACAACACTTGAAATAAGACATAAAAGTTATAATAAATCCGGTGTTTCACAAAATGATTCTATTTGCCAGTGCATGTTACAACTCTCACACAATAATATAAATACAAAGATCATAAGTCAACATGATCATCATTTGTGTTTGTACACTCTGCCACCCATTTGTGTTTGTCAGACTCTACAACTGAGAAAAAACGATTCCTCTTTACAAAGTACATTCTAACCATGTTAATCAGTTGTTTCTTATCATCAAACTCTTGCCCAACCTCGAATTTACCATCTGCAGAGAAGCGACTGGAAGTTGTACAACCCCTCCATGATTCATCAAATCCTGCAGGGAGCTCATAAACTTTAGTGTAGTGGTTGGATGGAGCATTGCCACTTACGAGATCACCACCATCTTCATCTGAATCTGTTAGTGTGTCATGATTCACATTTTCATATGCACCATCGTCGATGTGCTGTGAATCCAGAAACGTTGAATCACTGTTCACGTATCTTCCATTCTCTTGTGCAACCATATTCATCACAACTGGAACACTTGTGGATGGGTAAGATAATGACAAGTTGTCAGGTTGTATGAGCAACACAGTCATTTCTTCAACATATATCTACATGGTATGCATAGCAAGATTCGTGATCAAGGTCCACATCCCCGTAACGGCTTCGTCGTCAGCAAGAGGCATCAACATGTATGACCCACCATGAATGGGATATTTAACTTTCAAATCCAACTTGTTTATACGATTGATGGATGTGGCGGTATAAATTTTATTCATTAACGCAGCCACATCCACCCCACAGGAAACAACGATTATCTTCCGACTCCCCCCTTCATAACGAATTCAGTTCGACTCCTCGGTTATATTTCCTCCCCAATGACACACAATGGAGAAGTTTGAAGACATATTCTATCAAAAATCATTCCAAAAAAATATGATTTATGTCGCACATTGAAAACTCAACAACTAATTCAAACAAACTGTATTAAATCATATGTATCATTTTTATGATTTCATTCAATTACAAAATGTGATAGATACATATTAATGATGTGCTACATTAATCTTTTCCAAACTACCCGTATATCAAACTCAATTCAATCAACACAATAAAAAATCAAATTCTACAAATTATATAAAATCACGCATAATAACTAAATTACCAACTTATATATATCTCATAACATCAAATGCAAAAAAATAACGCAAAAAGAGCGATTTTTGAACAAAAATTTAAAAAACCCTAGGTTTACAAAATAGATGAATTACCGCGATTGAAACAGTTGAAAGTCGGTAGAATGGAGCACAAACGACCTCGGGTACACCGTGTCTCTTTTCCCTTTGATTCAAAATGAATCCAACCAACACAAAAAATAATTCAAATTATACAAACTATATAAATACAATCATAATAACAACATTAAGAACTTATACATTTCATAACATCAAATACAAAGAAAAAAATTAAAAAAAACACTAATTTCGAACATTAAATTAAAAAAACCTAGATTTAGCAAAAGTGGTGAAATACCTCGATTCAAACGTTTAAAAGGCGGTAGAATGGAGCACAAACGACCTTGGGTACACCGTGTCTCTTTTGCGTTTGATTTGAGCTTCGTTTGGAGGCATTCCGGCCGGAATTGGAATCGTTCGCACCTTGTTCGTCGTTCGTCGTTCGTGCAGAGGGAAGGAGGTGTTTTGTCGTCTGTGTTCGTCGGCTGGGAAGAAGGGGCGTTTTCTGCGAATTAATGAGCCGCCACTCGAAGTGGCGGCTTTTGTGATACAGGAGAAGAGCCGCCACTCGAAGTGGCAACTTTTGTGATACAGGAGAAGAGCCGCCACTTGAAGTGGCAACTTTTATGAAGTAATACAAGAGCCGCCACTTCAAGTGGTGTTTTCGTTAACCGTGGTTAATTCCAACAGTATTTTGGGAATTATTATTAACTCGACAGTATTTCGGGAATTGTTTATTTAATTAGCATTATTCCGGGAAAAAACTCTTCCAGTAGGGATTATTTTTGTAAAATACCTAAAAGTAAAGATTATTAATGTCAATTTCGCCTAACATTTATTAACTTGTTTTCAGAAAATTTAAATCATTCCTTTATTTCAACAATAATCTCAGTAAACTGGACAATTTTGATCTATTAAAATTTTAGCAGACTCAAATGTTGACATTGAATGAGGACCATATGCTAGTGTCGTGCCTTTTTTTAACATTTGTATCTGTTGTATGCATATTTGGATAAATAGATTTTCAAATTTTAAAGACATTCTTATATCAAAATCGGCCGGGGAGCTGATTTTGCTGATTTATTCAAAATTATATTTAAAATATATTTTATTAAAAAAAGAAATAAAAAGTATATGAAGAAATAGTTAAAATGACCTACAGTAACTTTAGACAACACATCCAGAAAAACAATTTCAATCTTACATTTTCTTATTATGTCACATTTCAATCGCAAAAGTGAAAGATACTTGTTTGATGAAAAAGTTGATTCAAAAACATAATAAGTCGAAAAAACATGCTTACCAAACAGGCTCGTAATCTCCTCAAAATTAGAAGGAGCTATTGTGAGTCATACAATTACCATGATATCTTATTTATATAGATATAATGATACTGATGTTTTCTTAATCATGAATAATTAAAAGACAATTAATAATGAATATTGTCCTTAGTGGCGTATCTTAGATTCTTAGATTTCTATTGAAGGTTAATTAACAACGATTTTAACCTACATAGGCTTCTCGTAAGGTTTTTCATTATATATCCCTTTTTGTATTTTGAACAATATTTTGCTAAAATGAATTAAGTTTTTCATTTTATAAAAAATTTAATTCATTTTAGCATTATTTAAAATGAAAAACTCTCGTAAGGTTAATTATCTCGTAAGGTTTTTCATTATATATCCCTACATAGGCTTCTCGTAAGATTTCTATTGAAGGTTAATTAACAACGATTTTAACCTACGTTGGTTCATTGCTTCATTCTTATTGTTATGTTGTTACCTATTAATAAAGGTATATTCTAGGGTACCTTTAAGGTATCATACATTTGTCCACATGGATCAATCAGAATGATGTAGTTGAAAAATTTAAATCTAAATTAAAAATGATATAATGATTTGAACCAATCAATTGAGTGATAGATACGATACCCCATTTTTTTAAATAAGTTCCGGAGTTCACCATTAATAAAAAGTAGGGGTCTGAATCATAAGATGAGGTGGCTTTTGAAATTAGGATTTTGACCTTGGTAGGATTTGTTATTTTCCTGCGAGCCGGTGAATCTAGTCTGCTCAGATAAAAATCTAATAACCGAGTTTTTATGCAAAACCATTATTCCAAGTTATGGAAGGGTGCGGTGATTCATTACCTGAAGGGGATTCTCACCCAATTGCTGATATTGACTCTCAAAGCTCAATATTGAGCTCAAATCTCTTCTTGGATGGCGTTGGAGAGGTTGTTGTCACCCTTAATTCTGACGGCTTGTCTTGGAGATCAGCTGAATCTATGTCTAACGTAAGCTTATACATTAAATATTCCCAATTATTTTCTTTTTCCATTGAAATTTACTTCTTAGAAGTTCCGAAATGGATGGACATTTATTCTTATTATTTTATAATATTTGGTTTTTGCAATGAGTGAGTTGGTGTTAATCTTTATGAAAAACCTGGGGTGTCTTTAATAGAAAAAGATTTAGCTTTAAAGAGTTGCACAGGGTAGTTTGAACAAAAAGCACCATATATGTAGAGTGCAAAACAAATTATTTTTCTGTGCCAATTAAACAACGAAAGCTGATACTTTGAAACATAAGTAAGAAAAAGAGAAGAAGATTTGCTATCCAAAAGTGGCTGATCCTGCTTATCAGCAAAATAACCATAATAAGATGCTCTTGACCTACTTATTTAGCTAAAATGGATTTTACCCAAGGCATTCTTTTATATAATAATGTTGTTTTAAGAAAAGGGAACTTGTATGTGATCAGTTTGTGTGCAAGAATAACTATTTATCCAAAAACTGATTAGGAGGATTTGAGAATAGAATATTCACATGGAAATTTTGGTAGTTAATAAATAATGCTTTTGGTTTCAATCCATGTATGGTAGGAGGAGGATCCATCTCTATGTTTAGGCTTAAAACTGTTCCGCAAATGTGGAACCGGAGTGAAATTTTGTGATGTATATGCTGCTGAATCTGTTGGTTGGGGAGTGGTACGCAAATCGTCTCTTCAAAATGCTGCTCGGTTATTCTCTGGACATTCATTTGAGGTTCTCTTTCTCATTCTCTTAGGGTGTGTTTGGATGATGGTGTTCAGAGGGGAAGGTTTTAGATGGTTCAGTTCTATATATATAGATGATTATATAAAAATGGAAAGATCAACACAATTTGTGATCGTATAACATTTCCATCACTTTTTCTTTGTTTTAGAGGCATCAGATTTATCAGGATATAGACTATGCCCTCCAAAAACCTTCATCCGGCAGACCCTTACAGCACCAAACGAATGGTTTTTGTTCTGTCACTGTCTTATGGTTAATCAACGGCTTGAATTTTTATTTGACATGTCAGATGTTTCGGTTGACTGTACACTATGCTCAGAAATCAAGAAACAGCACTAATGTTTGGGCCCCATCACGCTATAGCTTTGGCCATAAGGACCTGCAGACTTGCCGGATGTGGGTTAATCGGATCAGAGCTTCTTTACGCTTGCAGGGGGGGCGACCTAAAAGTCTTCTGGTATGGAAATAAGATAACTGAAATTAGATAGCGTTTGATTGAAAAAATGGTGTTGTAACTACGAAGCAATTACAAAACAATATAAATGTAGATATTAGTCATTTGGTTTTAAAAAGGAACATCAGCACCAAACATGCCTACATTCCGAGCAGTTTTATGTCATATATTACCAAATAATCTTTCCTTTTTTACACAATACAACTCAACACTTTTTATTCACAGTTTAGTACTTTATGACATCAAATCCCAAAGTGGCCCAAAGTCTTATAATCACACACACATATCAGATAAAAGTGTGTGGTTTTTTTCCAGACTTTGATTTTTTGATTGACTAGGTTTTTGTTAATCCAAGGAGTGGGAAAAGAAATGGATGTAGAACTTGGGAAGCTGTAGCTCCTATATTTTCACTAGCTGAAGTAAAGACAAAGGTAAAGCTTCAACTCTGATCTGGTTTAATAAATGTTCAGACCATATCTTAAAAAGGACTGTTTCAATAAAAACTTCAACATTTTTATCAGGTCACTATAACAGAAAGGGCCGGACAAGCTTTTGATGTAATGGCCTCCATCTCAAGTAGGGAGGTTAATTCATATGATGGTGTAGTCGCTGTTGTAAGTGAAAAGACTATATACTCTATAGCTAGGATTTCTTCTTCTGGAAGCACATCTTCATTGAAACCTAAAGTTTCTTTAAGCAATACTTCATTCTGAATCGCTCCTATTGCCTCCTATAAAATGAATTGATGCAAATCTCTTCTCTATTCTTCCTGAAAAAACAGAAGTCTTAATAGAAACTTGAAGGCATGTAGTTAATTGCATCTCCAAAATCAAGGCAGGAGTAAAGTTGGAAAAAGAATAATTAGGTATCTTGCTAGACTTAAGTGGCAAATTCTATTTTGTAGAGTGGCCTATAGGCTATAGAACAAAGCAGATGAAGTATTGTGGTATTCAGCGTGTAGAAGCAACCATTTGAGAATATAATAGAAAACTTGATTGAGAACATTAATGAAAGCTTAAGAATACAAAGGAGCATTAATAACATGAGCATATCTTTGCGTAGAAGGGTGATGAGTCCTGGACACCTGGTAGCTGATTGTACTATTGTTAGAACACTGGTAGTAATGAACACAGAACAATCACCAATCTAAGGGGATAATAGCTAGAACAGATCACAACAGATTATTGATAGAAAGAGAAAGTCGGTAAAAGGGGGTACAAGGGTGGGACAGTTCGAGATGCCCAATCTCCAAGCTACCAGCCAAATGACAAATAACAGCCTGCCTTATTTTGTTCTCTTCTTACTATTTATAGCTACTTGTCCACGCAGGGACCAACCCCAACTAGCTATTATATAGTTAAGTAATAATACTACTTATTTCTCCTCTTGTACACTTTATTGAAGTACTGAATAGGCTGTGGCAGTCCCCCAAGCCTATCATTACTCCCCCCCTGGAATTTCACCTTGTCCCCAAGGTGAAGATCTGGAAACTGTTCTGTCAATGACTGCAGTACTTCCCATGAATCTTCAAATGGAGGTAAGTCTTTCCAGTGGACTAGGACTTCCATCTTTCCCTCCTTGTTCACCCTTGAATCCAATATTTCTTCTGGTTTCACCTGTAGTTCCCAATCATCACTCAAACATGCTGGTAGAGGCTGAAATGCATTGGTAGATGGTATAGCTTTCTTCAGAAGTGAGACATGAAATATAGGATGTACTTTACTGTCTGTAGGTAACTGAAGTTTAAAAGCTACTGGACTGATCTTTTCAATAATCTCAAAAGGGCCATAATATCTGGGACTTAGTTTCTGGTTAATTCTCCTGGCCAAACTCCTGAGCTTGTAAGGTTGTATTTTTAAATAGACCAAATCTCCCACTGTCAGAACACTGGTAGTAATGAACACAGAACAATCACCAATCTAAGGGGATAATAGCTAGAACAGATCACAACAGATTATTGATAGAAAGAGAAAGTCGGTAAAAGGGGGTACAAGGGTGGGACAGTTCGAGATGCCCAATCTCCAAGCTACCAGCCAAATGACAAATAACAGCCTGCCTTATTTTGTTCTCTTCTTACTATTTATAGCTACTTGTCCACGCAGGGACCAACCCCAACTAGCTATTATATAGTTAAGTAATAATACTACTTATTTCTCCTCTTGTACACTTTATTGAAGTACTGAATAGGCTGTGGCAGTCCCCCAAGCCTATCAACTATACTTTCTTTTTGCTGGTGGCATACCCAAAAATAATCTGAACTTTGTGTAAAAAATAATATTCTGTTACACACACATGAGATGATAAGATACATGTGTGTGCCGTATATATAGAGTCTGATTCAATTTTTTTCCTGTGAAAAATAAGAAATTAAGAACTAATCTTGGCCATTGGTTTGATAAAATGCAGGGATCGGATCAATTTTTAATGTCAAAAAGTGGTGGCATTATTGTAAATATGGAAAACTTTCAATGAAACTGTTAAACAAAAGTACATCAATATATTTAAAAAGCATGCTAGTACATAGTATATGTGAATCAAAGTCTACCAAAATATGCATGAGTAAAAATGTGTAATAATATTCTTCTCATATAAACACAAAATGCACTGATATCATAAAACAATGCCTAGATTTACGCTTATTTGCAGGATAAGACATATTTTCATTTGACCCTATACCCTATGTGGGATTTTATGTAGAGTAATCTTCCGGTCAGGACTTCCGGACCGGAACCGCCGTCCGGACGCCACGATTTGAGGAGGTTCCCGGTGAAGTTTTTTTACGAAATTTCAGCTTAAAATTCGTTCTGGAAGTCAGTTAAAGAAATTATTGAAAAACACTGCGCCAAAATATATATAACACAGTATTTTTCAATAATTTATTTAAATGACTTCTCCTTCGAAATTTAAGCTGAAATTTTATGGACATAATCTATACTTCATGAAGAACATGTTCAAAGCATTTCATCAAAAAACAATCTCTGGGAACCACCTCAAATTGCGGTGCTCAGGCGGCGGTTCTCCTCCAGGATTCCAGAGGTGAACTTTTCTCTTATGTATATGCATATGTGTATACATGTCTGTATAGGTTATCTGTCGCTTAGTACTTTAGAAACAATGTTCTGAACTTCGTTTCATGAAAATTGAAATCTGGGCTCTTTATGGCTGGTTCTATATATTATTTGCTGCAATTGCAGGGTGGTGATGGTTTCTTTAACGAAATCCTCAATGGTCTTCTTTTGTCAAGGCATAAAGCTTCATTCCCACCACATCCAGCAGAATCTACTCAACCTGTCAAGGATGGTAGCCATCTGACAACAGCTCATGATGCAGAGACTTCGGATAATATTAATAATAATAACGAAGACTGCTCACCACTTCTCACTCATTCAGAACTTGATGGAAGTCAAGGTACAAATATCTATGTATGTGAACTTTTCAAAAGAATTTTTCTTCTGCACAATGTCTCAATGTAAGTTCTAATTTAAATGTATCTGGTGTTTACAGGAGCCGCCTGCAAGAGAGGTTAGTTAGTTTACTGTTCAAGGCAAATGACTAAATTCGTAGGCTATTGTAAGAAAGCCTTTTTCATCTTTGATTCCTATAGATTTGTCAACTAGACTTTGGCTTAGGTCTGGTTTCATTTCTGAACTTATCTTTTGTTATGGTTTGGACAAACAGATGGGGATTCTTTTTTATTTCCAAATGAACATTTCAGGTTTGGGATAATTCCTGCAGGATCCACTGATGCCATCGTGATCTGGTATTAGTTTTTTTTTAACTTTTAGTCCTTAATATTAATACTATTCTTGTTGGTTACTACATCAAATGTATACACTGACGTTGTCTGACTGATGTATTTTCAACTAAAATGTTATTGAAGAAAACGAAAACTGCTATTACATTCAGAAAGGATTGCTTGTTGTTTGAGATGTGCACTCGGTTTGCAATGACAATACTTGCAGACAAAATGATTGAATAAATAATTAAATAACAAAAAGCAGTAAAGGTTATAGTGAGAAGTAAATCGGAGTTGCTGAATAGTTTTTTCTTTTTGATGTATGACAAGTGTATTGCCTTTGACTTTTGCAGTACAACAGGTCTCCGGGATCATATGACATCTGCATTACAAATTGTGCTTGGTAAGAGAGTCTGCCTTGATATTGCTCAAGTTGTAAGATGGAAAAAAACATCCACCTCAAAGGATGAACCCCCTTGTGTGCGCTATGCAGCCTCCTTTGCTGGGTATTACTTTTTACCCTTTGTTGTATTCTACAATAACTGAAGTTCTTTATACTTCTTTGCATCCCCTTAAGCCACATTTGGTAACTTTGCTGTATCTGTGTCCAAAATGTGAAGTGTTACTTTTTAATGGGAAGAAGCATAAGCTTATTGGCTGCTTTTCTTTTTGGAACTGAGTTATGGGCTGTCACACCCTTTTAAGGAATTCAAGCTGTGCTCGTTTGTCTTTTGTAAACTCAAGCACAATTTGTAGTACCCTCCCACTGGACCATATTATAAGGCACAATTACCAAGCTGCACAGACCAAGTAAACTAGATAAGAGTGCTTCAGAAAAGATTACGCTATTCCACTTTTACCCTCTTTCATTAGGCATACCAAGCAAGTGAAGCAACACTTCACATTATAAACATAAACGCAATATTTATTAGGGGCCAACATTCTAACCATGAGTGAGAAAAACATTAAATGCTTCATAGAGGAAAAAAGTAATGCTTATAAAAGGGCTGGTGGTTCCTTTTAAATGTGCCTTATTATAAGGGCATGAGGGTGTGTAACGTGTAACATATTTCTTAAATCATGATGAGTTAAATCTGCATTAAATTAAATGTCTGCCATTTCTGTAGTAAATAATGAAGTGTTATGACTTAATTAACTGGTGGAGATGTGACATCTTTTCTCTTTCTTAGTATTAAATCTATTATTATTTTGATAGGTATGGGTTTTATGGAGATGTTATCACAGAAAGTGAAAAATATCGTTGGATGGGGCCTGCACGATATGACTTCGCAGGAACTAAAGTGTTCCTTCGACACAGGTACGTTTCCTATTTCTTCGACACAAATGTTTTTTTTTTATTTGAAAAGTTATATCCCATAGCATTTCTTTCTTAAAGCTCATATGAAGCAGAAGTCACATATTTGGAATTCGCTGATTCAAAGAAAGCAAGCCTGGGTGAAGATGGAGGTGGACCGGTTAACAGTAGGACCAAAGCAGCACTTCGTGTTGGCTCACGTAAGAAGCCCGAAAGAGCAGTTTGTCGTGTTAACTGTGATGTTTGTAACTTGAAAGGTAGTGAAACTTCAGAAGGAGGAATGCGTGAGAGATCTGATGGAGAATCACCTCACTCCTCAAGAAGATGGTTGAAGTCCAAAGGACAGTTTCTAAGCATTGGTGGAGCAATAATATCTTGCCGGAATGAAAGAGCTCCAGATGGCCTGATCGCTGATGCACATCTCTCAGATGGTTTCCTACATCTTATATTGATCAAGGACTGTCCCCATGCCTCTTATTTATGGTCTCATTTCTTGTTCACTATCTAATATAAATCACAAATTAATGCATTGGTAACACGTCATGTTAAATTATCATTACCTCATGCTTCATAAACTTCCTACATTATTCATCAATGGAAAAAAAATCATGTTTGTTCCTTTGATATTTGGCCATTCTCACTTGTATCCACAACTACCATTTTCTACACTTCTGGTGTATGGTTGTGCTCGTTTTTGCCACTTTTCGTCCTTACTGGGCTACCGGCCACATATCTGAGGAAAATACCCATAGAGAAATTGACCGGATAAGTGCTTTGAAGGACCATAAATGATAAAAATGTATAGCCGTGGGACCAATAGTGGAAAATGAAAGCTGGGGATCAAAAGTAGGAATGACCTATTTTTCATAGCCTCGTGGAACTAAAAGTGTAAAGTCATATAACCTCTTCACCTAGTTAGTGTAACCCATGTGGTAACTAAGGATGTTTTCTTTTGGACCGTTTTCGGTCCCAGATCATAACAGACTTAAACAGACTAGACAAGACTATGACCATTAGAAAATACACAAAAACCAGACATTTACTAGACCAGTTCAGATCAGACTAGACTTAAATAGATCACACCAGACCAGCAAATTTCAGTTCAAAAGAAAACATCCTAATACTTCTAGCATTTTCCAAGTTTAGTATAATATTTTTAAGGGTAATTACATTATTTGTCCCTTTTAGTTAAACAACTTTTGTAATTTTAGTCTTTTATTCTAAAAGTTGACAAAAAGTAGCAATCCTTGTTGCACCCTTTGTAGCGGTTTTAGGCTTTTGGTGAGAAATTTTAGTTCCTCATGGTTAAATGGGAGGTGAGGAGGACTAAAACCGCGTTAAGTATATTAAATGAACATTTTTTTGTAAAAGCTAGCAATGGGAGAAGAAAATTGATAGAACTGTATAGCTCAGGGACTAAACATTCTATTTAACTGTGTTTAATGAACACTAATTATACAACATGCAGGCATCTTACCCAGCTAGCGAAGAAAGGCGGGTGTCCTTTGGATTTTCAATTTGTTGAACACCACAAGGTATTGCCTCTGTCCTAACTTGAATATGTTTTCCTCTTTGTTGTCCATGAAGGCATGAATCAAAATGCCTTTGTCAGACCACAACTTTTACGTTCACTTCTTTTGGGAAAGAGAGCATGTGGAACATAGATGGCGAGCCATTTCAAGCCCATCAACTCTCCGCCCAAGTTTTCCGTGGCCTCATCACTATGTTTGCGACTGGCCCTGAAGTGTAGCAGCATAGCTAAGAAGGTGCGTGTGTTTTCTTCTGCACATCAAATGTCATGTGGTTCTTGGAACGGATCCTCAGAATTCAGATTCTGTATACTTCTTTTATTCCAATTACTTGTTTCATTTGTATTACTAGGCTTGAGCGGGAAAGTCAATGTTTCCTGTTTAATATTCAAACCAGTATTAGTAATTAAAATTCACGTATTTGAAAACTGTGTAAAAGTTCTATTGAATTTTGTACATAAAGATTTTGTACATAAATTAAAACTTAAAAGAATGACAGATTGACCTTTGAATAGCGAATGAGATGAGGAAGAGGGAGTATTATTAAGCTCCACTCTCTCCCATCTAGAGTCGATAGGGTCATGGGATGTAAATAGGAATATCATTATGGGCTTGGACCATCAGGCTGATCCTCCCTGCCATACAAAAGGCGTGGGTTGGGATTGAGATTTCCTTGCCCATGCTGAGAAGTGGACTTTTTAAAGGGCTGTAGCCCAAAAGGTCTGCTGATTGAAGCGGGCTGGAGATGAAATTAAAGAGTGGATGACATAAATGAAATCTGAAAGATGAAATGTATAAGTATGTTGAAACAGCTAGACAGAAGTCTAGCTGAAAGATGAAATGCTAAAAGAAAAATAATGAAATGAAACATGAAAACGCAACTGCAGTGATGAAATGTGGTGTGAAAGGAATATATATATACTTGTTTGATAAAATTGATGAAGTGGCAAGTGAAAAAAGTCTAAAATGGAGGAGCAAAATAACGAAAGGTAACGTTCTATATAATTGAAACCAAAATGACTTGCCAAACATGATACACAGCAAATGAAATACTCAGTAAAAGTTGCTTTTAGTTATTCTTTCATATCATTTTTTTATGATTGTGGATACTATGTGGTAATACATATACAATCATGCCAAGATTTACATTATACTGGTAATATATCTCATTGTGAGAATCAAGCTAACATTTATGACATGAACATTTACAGAGATGCATGCCTATCCGCTCGCCTAAAATAGGCCTCTGTTGCATGGACACACAACTCGGAACATCGCTATTGCTGTTTTGATCCCAAGCGAAAAGGCTTCCATGGAGTTTTTGGGAGGGTTTTCAGGACTTTTTCCAAAGATGGGCATCATCATATTTGTGCCTTAATTATTAGCATACTTCTCGGCACTAATTTACACACTAATCTTTTGGGAGAGTGACTGCAATTGGATTCATTGTACGGAGTATATATACTTGTTGTATTGTTTCAATCTTGATTTATACTAATAAATAGTTGTAGTTGAGATATCAATGTCTCCACCCGTTACAAAGATATCTCATGTCAAACCTTTTATTGTTTTTGAATAGTAATAACAATCATGTGATACTTGTGGACTTTTGTGTCTTGACGTCTTGGCCGGACCTTTTTTTTATGACAATAACAAAGTGCCCAAAGCTCTAAGTTAAAAGATATGTGTGGCCACATTTTCTTTAAGAAAAATAATGATAGTACCTCACTCTCTAGTACTTCACATGGATGGATCCGGTTTGGTATTTCCGGGCCGGTTTGTGTGGTTCTTTGAAGATGATACTTGGCCCAGGAACTCCCGACCCACATACTTCCACTACTACTATCAGGTATGGGTGGATTCGGTTCGGGCCACCCGGCCCGTGACCCGGCCCGGCCCGGTACTCTGCGGGCCCGGGACCGGCCCGGTCGGGCGGTCCGGGACCGGGTGTGGACCTGAACCGGTGGGAATGGGCGGGGCGGGCACGGTTCCGGATAAATGTGACCCGGCCGGGTCGGGCCCGGGTCCGGTCTGATTTAAAAAAAAAATTAAATTGGGCTACTAGCCGTTGGGGGTGGGTGGGGTGCAGGGGGGTCCGGGGGGGTTGGGTGGTGGGGGGTGGGGGGGGGGGGTAAAAAACCTATAAATACTTCTAATCTTAAACATTTTTTCATATCTCTTCTCCAATTCTTCCTAAATCCTATTCTTAACTCTCTACTCTCTAATTCTCTTATTCTCCAATATATTATATTTATTATTTATATATCTACTTTATAGTTTATACTTAAGAAGTTAAGATGGAAAATCAAGATGCCATTATACGGTATAATTTTGATAAGCAGAAGGACCCGAAGACCGGGATGTGGTACGCAATTTGCAAATGGTGCGAGAAAAAATGTAGCATGGGGGTTTCAGGCGGATACGGGATGACAATCAAGCATATGAAGTCATGTGACAAAGCTAAAGGATCGGGAGGTGCGGGAAGTTCCGATTGATTACAATTTTCAAAATGTTTGTCTCTTAAAGTTTGTTTTAATTTTCAAATGTAGTTCCTATTTCATTTCAAATAAATGCACTTGAAGTTTGTTTTTAATACTCGTATAAAACCATAAACTATAAAATATAAATTATATATAAAAAAATTAACCGGCCCGGCCCGAACCGGACCCGACCCGTGACCGGGCGGGTGACCCGGCCCGAACCGGACCCGTCCAACCCTCGGGCCGGTCCCGGGCCCATGTCATACAAACCGGCGGCCCGACCCGCCCGAGTCCATCAATACTATCAGGCCCAACAGGCCCAAATGGCTCAAATGGCCTAAACACAACAAACAAGACTCCGGACAGTCCATACTAGAACAAAGTGTTGCCTTAGGCCCCATACCTGAAGGCCCATGGGACGTACGTCCTTTGGCACATGAATGCCCTAGGAGACGTACGTCCTTCTGCACATGAAGGCCCAGGGGACGTACGTCTTTCAGCACATGACGGTCCCCCCAGCTACGTACGACCTTCGACACATTAAAGTCCTCCGGGGGTACGTACATTCTTCAACACATTAAAGTCCTTCTGGGTACGTACGTCCTTCAGCACATGATGGTATTCGGCTACGTACGACCTTCAGCACATAAAGTCCTCCGGGGTACGTACGGCTTTCAGCACATGAAGTCCTCTGGGGTACGTACGACCCTTCGACATTACCCCGACAAGATCTTCTCTCTACATGCACTGAATGCGGCCACATGCTATGTCAGCGTCACCCTGGCTGAGTTGACCCTCCATCGCTGGTTGCTTGACACGTATACCCTCATTTATTGGACCTAGCATTTATGACTGTTATAAATAGTAGTCATTCTTCCATTATAATTGATATAACAACTTCATTGAGTAAATACTCACTCTCTCTTACTTGTTCTGACATCTCTCTAGATATCCCCAGCGGTATCCCCGGATATACTATCCGTCATCTAGTTTGGTTTTCGTGTGTATGATGAAAATACCCTTAATTGCTTCTTCTCCTCTTTTTACATTGTTTTTGAAATAGTTTTTTATATTACTGAAGATTAGTGTAGGAAAAAAGGTCACACAAATTAGGAATTCTTAAAATACTCCCCCCGGTTCCAAAAGATCTTGACACTTTGACTTCACAGTTTTTAAGGAAATAAACACTGTTTGACACTGTTTGGCACTGTTTTGTGTAGATTTATTTGTCAAATAAGGCAAATAAGGAAGTGTAAAGATCTTTCTGGTACTGCTAAAAATGGAAAGTGTAAAGATCTTTCAGAATCGGAGGGAGTAAAAAAATGGCAAGAATATTTTTGGCCCACAGGTAAGGGGAGACACCGGAATGTACTGGTTCAATCCGGATTCAGAGTTGGTTTCATTTTGATTGATTATTAAACCCTCTTTGAGAGAAAGTAATGCATATACCTCCACATTCGAGACCGAGAGGTATTTATCAAAGTGTTTTTGTGTGCTCGTCTCATCATCAACCCAAAAAAGTGGAAATCTTGGCTTTCACATGCCTCATAGAATGGTGGATGAATAAATTGCCGTGTGATCTTACATAATTTCTGATTGAGGTGTTCAAAATTTGATACACACAAAGAACTATCATAATAGATGAAACTTGCACATTGCCTACCGCATTGGATGACACTCCCACACTATCATTGTTGGGAATTAAACATGATATCTCAATCCAATTGCCTCACTCAACCACCGTTAAGCTATTCGTGTGGTTTATCTATATCATCATGCTTTGCACTCTATTGTGTATATCTTTTTGACACTCAAATATATATAATTACTACGGAGTACATTACTTATGAGGAGACACTAGACTCTTTAATATTCAAGTGAATACTACTCCCGTTATAAATTATTTGAACAATCATATATTCATTGATTTTCATTATAATATTTGATCCATATATTAAAAACTTCATAGCTTAAAATATTCAGATAACAAACATTTAAATATGGCAAAGGTAACAACTTCTTAGTTTATTCAACCATTTACGTAAGAGTAATGGGCATGATGAACAAAACACGCAAAAAAAAAACCAAAATTCCAAAGACATGCAAGGATAGCAAAAATTGCTCTTCTTAGTTGTATACGTAGATTTTATTAGGAATGAGGTCCTCTGCCTTAAGGCAGAGTGTCTTTGCTAAAATTAATGGCAGAGATTAAAACTCAAGCCTTGAGATATGTGTAAAAAATGGGACCCTTGATCTCCTACCATCCCTTTTTTTATCTGAGAGCTTACAATTGCCAGGCACCCTCCAATTCTGCGTAGTCCAGACAGAGACGCTGGATCCATTTTATTATCATCACAGACACGTTGCACCTATAACTTGACCTAATTCGGTTTCGATTCCCGACAAAAATATGTGGAACAATGGAAGTATAATTTAAACCAATCGAGTAAACTAGTTTCACTTTTGGATTGCCAAGATCGACTGCTTTGGACGGGTTATGAATATGGTTTTGTAGCCTATAATAAAAAATGTAAAAACAGAACCGCAACTTCAACGCGTCACTTCCGATTCTACGGAGTATTTCCGAAGAACCAAAATATCGACCATGGGCGGATGCATCAAGTGATTAATGGGGGCACTTGACCCCAACGAAATCTAAGGTTTTAGTGTGAATACATACATGTATTTTAATTAGTACTCCCTCCGTCCCGGTCATTTCTTCCAACTTTCCTTTTTGGACCGTCCCAATTAATTATTCCAACTTCCACTTTTGGAAAAAATATGTGGTTCACATTCATTCACCTTTTTCTTACACAACTACAACCATACATTTTCACTTTATTCTCACTGCCTAAATTTGCGATACCGGTCAAAACCGGAAGAAATGATCGGGGCGGAGGGAGTATTAATAAAAACGAAATATGTCCCCCAATAAGAAAATTTGATGCCCCCATTAATTAGAGTCGGACATACAGACCACACTCTTGTTACTTTCAAATTACATTTTTTAAAATGCTTATTTAAATGATATGATCTAATTGTGTAATGAATTTATGATAAAAAATGTAAAATGAATTTTATTGCCATCATCGCATGTGACTTTAGGATGAGGTAATTAGTCATTACTCCAATACCTCTAATAATTGTCATCTCTGGAAATCGTTCTATTTTTTAAGTCAGTTATTTGTGATTTCCTTATCTTGTTAAATAAAGTCTTTATTACGAAGGGATATTTGAAATTGATTATGCTTATTTTTCTTATTTAAAACTAAAAACAGAATCAGAATCAGTTTTCCAGAAGCTGATCCCCCGACTTCTAAAAAGTTGCCTGTAGGAGCAATTTGGAGCACTGAAAAGTACTTTTACACTTTCACTCAAACACTCCAATATCATTTATCATTTAGCATATTGACTATTGAAATTATCATTGATTTTGCCATTTACAACCGCTAGCGTTGAATTTTTTTTTTTTGTTTTTGTGATAAACATTCTCAAGTCAATTTTGTGCAATAGGATTGGTAACTATTTTTTGAATGATTATCTTATTTTTTATGTGAGAAAAATGTGCTTGATACATTTACATTTGAAATTATATGCCATTTAAAAAAAACTCACAGAGAGCGATTGTAATATAATACAATATTTTTATTTTGTTAAAATTGGATTATTTATTTTTAAATGATTTCTCTAAATAGGAGTAAAAATGTTTGTGAAATCCATAATAAGATTAGTATATTTTTATTTTTTAAATATGAGTAATTACTCTCAAGCTTGAAAAATATTGTCACATATGACAGGATATAAGTGGTACTCCGTATTATTTTTCATGCTTGAGAGTGATTACTTCTACTTAAATAAAAAAACTTACTACTATTATTTAGAATTCCAAAACACTTTTACTCATATTTTAGGAATTTTCTTTATTTTTAAAGTTAGGTTACACTTATTATCCAAACGTTTTTCACTTGATTTAGGTGCCCCAATAGCGACCAGGACTTCATCATTTCATGACCCGTCGGATCCAATCCGGTTTCGGAATTGGAGCGGGTCCGGCCATAGCCCATATACACCTTATTTAGTCCAATAAAGGTTGAATCCCCAACCCCAAGGGCCCTCCCACCCCGACCCGACAGGATGGTGGGGGAGTAAATCACGGTGACTCAGTCGGCAAAGCGGCAGTAGGTCTTTACTCGTGCGCACCAGAGGGCCAGCCTTATTTCAGGTTCTGAAAACCCCTTTTTGGCCGCTGCGGGATTCGAACCTTGGTCTACGTCCAATTTTTCCCACCACTCGACCAACTGAGCTACCCGTGCGGGTCTATACACCTTATTTAGTGTGCGTGGACAAGAAACATGTTCTGATAATTGTAACGTGATCAACTTGTTTATACTCGTATCCTATTGCTTACCTATAGTGTTGTCGGGGGAATCCTCTCAATAAGTGTTTTGATCATGTAATCCTTTTCCAAGCCACACGTATAAGCCTCAATAGACTTATCACTTAGTACACCAAAGTACCAAACCGTGAAGCTATGGTTTGCTCCAAATTCAACTTCAAATTAAGTGTTAAAAATGAGTAAGAAAGATATGTAAAGTATTAGTGGAAAGAAAACGAAAGCAAACAAATAATCTTGTAGATGAAAAATTAGAAATAATTACACAAATATGACTAAAATATAGATGATTTACAAAAATATGATTAATGACTAGAGTCGTAATGAAATCATGGTAATTCATATTCAAATTTTGAACTTAAATCACCACAACATCACATTGTAATAATGAATAGTCGTATTTATGTAAATATGACTTATTTTAGTAATATTCTTGTAAAAACCCCGAAAAATTATGAGTTAGATTTTGGATAAAGTGTAATAAATAACAAGGAGTAAAACATTTCATGGAGAAACACATTTCAAGTAGATTACTCATTTCATATTTAGCATAAATCGATTTCACAGATTTCACATCGTGAATTCGTGATCGCCATTGTTCTGAATACTTCCTTTTCCCATTCCCAAGTCTCGATACTTTTTTCCACACCGCCTTCTTACCGACTCACAGTGCTCCTCCTCTCAACCTCCTTTTCTCTCTCTACGAAATCGGCTGTTACTTATTTGTTTGTTTATGATCAAATTGAAGAATTTAAGCAACCAACTATCCTTTACGGTTTTCAATTTATATCAATCAAATGAGAGAGTAACCCGAAACTGGAAAAATAAAGTTATGGAACCGAGCAACACTCGAACCGTGTGCTTGTCAGAATCGGCTAACGGAGGCGAAGATGTGTATAGCAGCAAAGAATCCGACGTTTCTTCCGCGGATCATCTTGTTGTAATGGTTCACGGTATTCTTGGAAGGTATAAGCATATCTGGTTTTATGTATATATTTCAGCTCTGTTTATTGACTTGTGTACTCATATTGGATGAAGATTTTAGCTTTTGTTCCTTTCAAATTATGGAAATGTCTGGATTTTAGGTAGCAGTCTTTTTTTAAGCTCTTGATCGATTTGGTAGTTTTACTTCTGTAAACTGAAGTTTTCATCGAAATTACTCTTACAAGTATCAATTTTTTTCTAAGAGGTGGTGGGTAAATTGATAGATTATACTCCACGTTTGCTTTACAAAGCAGTTTCATCACATGTTTGGATAATTTGCATTTAAAAGCAATGCACATGTAAAAGACTGGAACTTAGATGTCTCTGTACGTTTGCTATCTTTGATTACATCCATCATCATTTGCTCTTCTTGATGTTGCTCGTGGATAGATTGGTAGCTTCTGAATAGTTCTGTATTTGGCTGACATTCTGACAAGAAATGTTTGGATATGGCAATGTGATTTTAAGACGAATAGTTTGGTGTACATTTTTTCCAGTTATATTCTCTTGGTTAAGATTTCTTTGGTAATTTTCTGTGCTAAATCAATAGACATAGACATTCTAATTAATGCTACGATAATGTTTAAGGTGCCACAACTTTATGCATTAACTGATTTTTATTCGAGCAAAATAAATGTTGCATTTCTCGACTTATGTTATTTGAGAAGAGAAATATCATTGCTTAACTACTCAACCTTTTTTGTTACTTAATGTTTTCTTGTTACCACAGTACCGCAGATTGGAAGTTCGCTGCAGAACAGTTTGTCTTAACGCTCCCTGACAAAGTTTTTGTTCACTGTAAGCTCACTATGTCATCAAGTTTCTCAGAGCTCTTCTCTATTCATATTCTTTAGGGTTCATTTATGGGAAGTTAGTAAAGATACTGGTCTACTGGATATATATTTTTGCACTTATGTGGTTGCAAGTGGTTTCTGGAATATCCATGAGTAAACATTATTTTTTGCAGGTAGTGAACATAACACGGCTATGCTAACATTGGATGGTGTTGATGTTATGGGTGAGAGATTAGCAAATGAGGTATGTCCTTAAATATAGTTCCTAGAATTACTGTTTACTCCCCATCCCTGGCAAATAGACTTAAAAAGTTCCATCTTCAGGTCCTTGAAGTAATCAAAGATAAGCCTGGTTTACAGAAGATTTCTTTTGTTGCACATTCTGTTGGAGGACTTGTTGCTAGATATACCATTGGCAGACTGTATAGTCCCCCAAAAAGGGAAAAAGCAGACGACTTATCTACTGATTCCCTCAAAGAAGGGTCAAGGGGAAGAATTGCTGGCTTGGTACCCATGAATTTTATCACTGTTGCCACACCTCATCTTGGATCAAGGGGAAACAAGCAGGTATTTGTACATTTTTCAATGGCGACCCTCTGCTGTTCTGCATTAAGTTAGATGTTACGCTCGTTTAGTGGTCCTTTGTCAATATCTATCTAGTTACTCATCTTCTGTTTTGCCTCCAAGTCATATCTAGCCTTTTAATTTGTTAAATCCTTGTTACACTGATAGTTGGACATTTTGGTTAATTATTGCATGCAAACCCGTAATTAATGCTCTAAAAAGTGCTAGGCTCTAGCCTCTAGGTGATGGAGGACGGGAGGTCTTAGTCTCTAGGGACAGGCCTAGAATGTAGTCATTCTTTATTTCTTATAAATATTTTCTCCTGATTACCTGATATATTTATCTTACAAGACAAAGTTTATATTATGGAGATAATTGAAAATAATCAATGAAAGTCAAAAAAAAAAACCAATGATAAAATATGATGTTTAATATACACTTGATATGTGACTCTAACTGTGTATGTTTTTGTTATTTATCTCCTAAACCAATTTGCCTATGCATAAAGGTATATTGTAAATTGTAATAGTAATCATGTTTTTATTTCTCCACAATTATGCATTGTGTTTCATTGGAGAATGGAGACATGTGCACTGTGCAGTGTATATCTTTAACTCACAAAGCATCATCCAGACCTTTTTTACTTCAATAATGGATTGTTTCTAGGTGTTAATAGATGATCCTGGGATTCCCAGCTCAAAGTTCCAGTCAACGTTCTTCAAATTCTATCACATACAAATCGATTGTGTTATCTTCTTGCCCATATAGGAGTGTAGATTTTAATTATGGATAATCAATTACTCTTGCTATAAAATGTGATCACTACTTTACTACCTTTCTCTAATCTCTACTAAACACTCTTAGTAGTATTCTTCCCTTCCCTAACTGTTTATAGCTAATGGTCAGGTGCCATTTCTTTTTGGAGTTACTGCCTTTGAGAAAGTTGCTGGCCATGTGATTCATTTGATATTCAGAAGAACTGGGAGGCACCTCTTCTTAAGGGATGATGATGAAGGGAAGCCCCCATTGCTTAGACGCATGGTAGAAGATGATGGTGAATTGCAATTCATGTATGATATTTCAGCAAACATATTTTTAACATAAAATTGTTGGCTTCGTAGCACACGAAATGAGAAACTTGAAACACGAAATGCAAAAATGGTATTTTTGAAAATTATTGGATAACGAACGTGGGGGAAAAACGTGTGTATGATAAGATAAGGATATATTTGTAAATAGTATTTCAAACTTATGTATACATATTGCTTCATATACATATGTATACTTATTTTTTAACACAACTTTGCTTAATATTTATTGATAAAAACAGTCTATATGATCAAGTATAGAATTTATTACATATTCGTACATAACTAATTCGTAATAGCAGTACATTACGCTATGAAATATCAGTGGTAAAATCCTTTTTGAAATCCACTAAAACACGTTCATAGACAATAATTTCCTTAAAATATCCCATCATAAATAAAAAATTGGAAACCCAAAGTTTCTCAAACCCTAATTGATTAGGGAAACAATTTTTTTCCTTAATCTTCTCAATCGTACAACTACAACAGCCCACAAACGGGAATTTGAAGTTCACAAGTTTCCGATATGCTTGAGTTTCCAAAATGATAAAATGTGAGCCTGCGGGGTAGTATATGTACATCTTAAATCATTGGACTGCCCACTTTGAAATGACACTTGTGTTTTATTACAATTGATGTTTGCAGGTCTGCTTTGCGTTCATTCGAGCGCCGGGTTTCTTATTCAAATGTTGCTAATGATCGTATCCTAATAGTTTTGCTTAATATAAATTAATATTCCATTTACTGTTCTTTTTATGTTGTACCCATCAGTATTCCTTAATAATTGCTTGTTTAGATATTGTTGGCTGGAGAACATCATGCATAAGACGAAATACTGAACTGCCCAAGGTTTGTTGATTGCACTATTTTTCCTTCCCAACTTTTGCTTCTTTTTGGGGTTTCAAAATATTCTTTTAATTGTAGTGGGAAGAATCCTTGAATGAGAAGTATCCACATGTTGTGTATGAAGAACGGTGCAAAGCAAGTGATGGTGAGCAGGGTGATTCCATTGTAAGGGAAGATGATACTCAAGACAAGCTGGAAGGTTTGAATCTTGCTTCTTCATGTTTGGAAGATGTGGCCTGGTTTCCTTCTATTCTGCATCCTCTCCTTTACATTTTCTTTTTCTGTTTGCGTAGAAATAGTCCTTTCAGACATTCTTTTGTCCCAAAAAAGAGTCATTTATATCAAACAAACCTTTTGTTAGGTAATTGATGGAGTATATGGCCCGGGAACCCCCGGCCCACAGACTCCTGCTACTCCAGTAAAGGCCCAACAGGCCCAGAAGGCCCAACAGGCCCAAATCACAGCGCCCAGAGTACCAAGCAGCCCGCACTACGCGCCAGGGGTGCCTTCGGCCTCCTGGCCGAAGGCTCTAAACTCTCACAGAATGGGTTTCTCAAGCAAACTAAGAAACTGGGAGAAAACGGCAAAAACAGAAGCCCTCGGCACCTCTCCGCCCTCGGCACCAGGGTGCCATCGGTTTGAGGAGCCCTCGGCTGCTGCTCTATAGCCGAAGGCACCTCTCCCGACATGATATCCGCCTCACATGCGTACAGATCACCGTACCCTGTACAGATGTCCCATCCAACAGCCGCATTGAATGCGGCCACATGCGGCTGCCAACGCCAACCAGTTGAGGTGACCCCTCGGCCAATAGGCACTTGACACGTGTCCCTGTCCGGCATTTATTGCTACTATAAATAGCACCCCATTTCTCCATTTGTAACCACGACATTCATACTGAATACACTCTCTCTCTTACTTACTTGTGCTCTGACTTCTCTCTAAGTTATTCTCAGCAATAACCCTCGGATATATACCCCCCATGTAGACTATCCATCATTTGGTGCTCTCGTTGAGAGGTCGAACAAATCGAGTAAGAAACCCTCCCCCTTCGCCAAACACTAGCCCTCTACCAAAAATGGTAAGAACAACACGTACCAACTCTAAAAACGTGGAAGACAAGAACCTGGCCCTCGGCGACGTCAACGCCCCCGAAGCCTCTCACAGGGCTCCCGAGGGCGGTGTCATCGCTGGGCTGGAACAGGCGGCTGTCGACCTACGCCTTCAGATCCAATGAAATGCCCCCGATGCCCGCCTCGGCATCGAGGCCAAAAAGAAAAACCGGAGCGATGACCAAGTCAGCCCTCCGGTTCTCACCATCGACGTGCAATCGGCGCTCTCCGCCTTCATCCAAACGCTCACTCAGAACCCGGGTGCCTTCGGCACCCTGGCTCCGGCTCACCCCCAGGTTGAGGAGAACATCATACTTCCCCCTCTACCACACCCCTTCGGAAACCCTATCCCTCGGGTTAGGAACGACGAAGGGGTAGTGGCCCAAGATACGTCCTCCCAGGAAGTTCAGTCCCGGGACCGCCACAATGACAACAGAGAAAGGCCCCGCACTTCCGCCCTCAACCGGCTCGGAGGAGGGCCAGACCGCCGAGGGGTCCAAGACCGCCTCGGAGGGAAAGCACTCCAGAGGCCCCAGGAAAGCGGGGGGTCCGTCTCGAGGGCAGACGAGGAGCGTCCCCCTCGGGACAAAGGCAAGGCACCCCTTCATGCCGATGATGCTCGGCACCAGATCAACCAGGCCCACTCGGCCCGGGTTCGTTCGCAGGGGGCGGAGACCCTCCCGAAGGATCCCCGGGACGAGATTATTGCGGCCCTCCAACGCCGGCTTGACGAAATGGAGGCCAACAAAGCTCACGTCACCACCTCCACCCCTCATTCAGACCTCAAATATGAGGCCATGATGGCCAAAATGGAGGAATTACAGAAGAAAGTGGCCGAGGGCTCCGGGGAACCCGTCATCCAGCTCCGGACCCGGACGCCATTTACCCCAAGGGTAGTGGCGGCCTGGATTCCGGAAAAATACCGAGGGCAACACATACAGCCCTACAACGGGAAGACGGACCCCCAAGAACACTACAGCAAATACCAGAACATCATGATGATGGTAGGGGCGTCAGACGAATATTTGTGTCGTTGGTTCCTCTCCACCTTAGAGGGGCCGGCATACGAATGGTTCAACAGGCTGCCCGAGGGCTGCATTGATTCGTGGCAAGAACTCGCCCAGCGATTCTTGACACAATTTGCCGGGAGGCGTCGCACGAGGAAGCACTTCTCCCACCTCCTAACCATACGCCAAAAGAGGGATGAGACCCTTCGGGATTTCCTGGAGCGCTGGAGGACGGAGGCCGATAAAGTCGACGGTGCTGATGACGGGACCCTCCTGGCCCTCCTACAAACCGTCCTCCGCACCGGCAACTTTTCAAGGAGCCTCATCATTGAACCCCCCGCGACTACATAAGGGCTTTGCAGCGGGGGGACCGATATGCTGAGGCCGAGGAGGTGGAGAAATATCACCAGCATCCGGATCAGCAGCCCCCGAGGGCTGACAATCAAGAACAACCGAGGGCCGGGGGCTCCTCCAAATCACCCCAAATCTTCAGGACCCTCTGATGATCGCCCTCGGCAAGGCCAAGCCAAGCCCGGGGGAGGTTATAAGAGCAACCCTAAGACTTGGGCACAGCCCATTCTCCTGGATCGCCCTCGGACACCATTGACGCACCCCGTCAGCATCATTCTTGATTTTGCCGAAGAGAGGGGCCTCGTTGAGCGCGATTCTCGCGCCCCCCCGGAAGTACATGCTATCAATCCTCAGTTCCCATACTGTCGCTTCCATCGGCACCAGGGGCACAAAACCGATGACTGCCATCAGCTAAAGACGGCCATCGAGAGATTAATACAAGCGGGACACCTGTCCCAATTTGTCCAGAGCCCTCGGCAGGAGGGACCTTCTCATCAGGGGCCTCCCTGAGGGCACCACACGAAGGTAAACGCTTGGGTGAACCCGAATACCATACCCCTCGGCAAGAAGAGGGAGATCGGAAATTTGGAGGAAGAGGAGGAGTACCCCCACTACCAGGAGAAAAAACGCCACATCCTCATGATCACCGGCGGCAATACCGGGGGCGATTCCACCAGCCAGCGAAAGAAGTGGGCACAATCGCTTTACGTGGAGTAAGTCACTCATATGCCCCCGGTAAAGCGACTGAGGGAGGAACCCATCACCTTCACCAACGCAGATCTCCCTCCTACTTCTCCTCCTCACAGGGATGCCTTGGTGATTCGGACTGAAATAAACGACACCATTCACCGAACTTACATTGACACGGGCAGCTCCGTCAATGTAATGTACCTCAGCACCTTCAGAGAGCTGCATCTGGAGAGGGGGTCCCTTCGGCCCATTAAGACCCCTCTTGCCGGCTTCACCGGCGACACTATTGATTCTGAGGGGGTAATAACCCTCCCGGTGATCTTCGGCGACGGGCTCCATAGAGCCCAGCTCGAAGTGGAGTTCGTCGTCGTCAACATTGACTGCGCCCACAACATCATCCTCGGCCGGCCAGCCCTTGAGGACCTCGAGGCCATCATCTCCATGAGGCACCTCTGCCTCAAGTTTCCCGCCGAGGGGGGCATTGGCTACTCTCGGGGGAACCAGAAAATCGTCCGCGCCTGCTATCTTCAAGTCACTAAGAGAGTAAGTAAGACGGAATTCCGTGTTGACACCATCACCGGAACCATCGACCAAGAAGAAAAAAGGCCGAGGGCTGAACCGGCCGAGGACGTAGAAGACTTTGTGCTCGATCCGGCCCAGCCGGAGAGAGTCGTGAAGATTGGAGCCCAGCTCCCTGAAGATCTCAAGACCGGTATCACCGACGCCCTCCGCGCCTACTCCACTGTCTTTGCATGGGGGCCGGAGGACATGCCGGGAATCAGCCGAAGGGTCATCACCCACCGCCTCTCGGTGGACCCCTCGGCAAAAGCAGTACAACAACGAAGAAGACCCCTCTCCGCCGAGAGGAGGGAATTTGTGAAGAAGGAGGTCGCCATGCTCCTCTCCATTAAGCACATCAAGGAGGTGAAATATCCCTCATGGCTAGCAAATGTAGTCCTCGCACAGAAGCCCCCTACCTTCCGCATGTGCGTGGACTACACCGATCTCAACAAGGCGTGCCCTATGGATCCATTCCCTCTGCCAAATATTGATCAACTGGTGGATGAGACCGCAGGGTGTGAGATCATGTCCTTCCTCGATGCCTTCCGAGGGTATCACCAAATTTTCATGCACGAGGAAGACGCCGAAAAAATTGCCTTCATGACTCCCGAAGGCATCTTCTGCTACCTAGTAATGGCCTTCGGCCTAAAGAACTCAGGGGCCACTTACACCCGGATGGTGGCCCGGGTCTTTCAAGCCGTCCTAGGACGCACCATGGAGGCCTATGTCGACGACATGATCGTCAAGAGCAAACAATCTTCCAGCCATGCTGACGACCTCCGGGAAATCTTCGCCATCATGCAAAAGTTCAACCTTCGGCTAAACCCGAAGAAGTGCACCTTCGGCGTCCAAGGGGGCAAGTTCTTGGGCTACATGGTGAGCCGAAGGGGTATTGAGGCCAATCCCGAGAAGATCCAGGCCATCATCGACATGGAACCCCCACGCAATGTGAAGGAAGTTCAACGGTTGACGGGCCGCCTGGCAGCCCTCAACCGCTTTCTATCTAAATCAGCGGAGAAATCTCTACCCTTCTTCCAGATCATGAGGAAGACGGCTGGCTTCCTATGGACTCCGGAATGCCAGGGGGCTTTCGACGAACTCAAGCGATATCTATCTTCACCCCCTGTGCTCTCAAAACCAAAGGTAGGGGAGACCCTCTATGTCTACCTTGGGGTCAGCCCGGCAGCCATCAGCTCTGTGCTCATCCGGGAGGAAGACGGCATCCAACATGCCATCTTCTACGTTAGCAAGACCCTAAGGGAGGCCGAGCTCAGGTACTCCCCTGTGGAAAAAACGGTGTTAGCCATCGTTTGGACTGTCAAGAAGTTGGGCCACTACTTTCAAGCTCACCCGGTTCAGGTCCTCACTCATCAACCCCTCGGCGCCCTCATGAGGAGCCCCACCAGCTCCTCCCGCATGGTGAAATGGGCTATCTTCTTGAGCCAGTACAACATTGACATCCGTCCGAGGCCTGCCAT